ACACTATCATAAACATAGATCATAAATCATAGTATCCCTACAGTGTGGAAATAGGCCCTTTGGCCTAACAAGTTCACACCGACCCACAGAGCATCCCACTCAGACCCAACCCACCTAATCTACACATCGCTGAACACTACAGGCAATTTCCCACGGCCAATCCACCCAGCCTGCACATCTTTGGACTGTGGGAGGAAACTGGAGCACCCGGAGGAAACCCACATTTCGTGGAGAAAAATAATGGGCATTCTCATTTGACTTGGGGCGGCACGGGGGTTAGCACTGCTGCCTCACAGCGCCAGGGATCCAGGTTCGATTCCACCCTCGGGTGACTGTCTGTGTGGAGTTTGCACATTCTCCCCGTGTCTGCGTGGGTTTCTTCTCGGTGCTCCGGTTTCCTCCCACAGTCCAAAGATGGGCAGGTTAGGTGGATTGGCCATGCTAAATTGACCATAGTGTTCAGGGATGTGTAGGTTATAGGGGCATGGGTCTGGGTGGGATACTGTGAGGTTTGGTGTGGACTTGTTGGGCCGAAGGGCCTGTTTCCTCACTGTAGGGATTCTATGAACTATAACTTGACTGGCTGTTTAATGTACCGCAAGGATGTACGTGTGCAGTAATTGAGCCACACTCCTGTGGAATGCTGTGGTTTCCTGCCAACTAACGAACGGGTTTGACATTTCCTCATGGTGTCAAATCTCTACCATCATGATTCACGCCTGCTGACTATCTGTAGAAACTCGCTCGGTTAGTCAGGCTTTTCCTCAGATGAGCTGGAGCTTTAGAGACAGTATAGTTCTGGCTCGTTGTCAGATCTGTCTCTGCTGGCCAGTGCAGGAGGCCATTCCTACAAGATCATCATCAGGAAATCTACTAAAGAATTCAGTAGGAACATCTTGGTCTAGGGGGTGGTAGGAAGGTGGGGGAGGGAAGTGGTTGAGGTGGATGTATTTAAAGTGAAGATGGATAAGGCACATAATGGGGGACATTCAAGTCAATGATAAACACCTGCACAACCTGCTTGGGTTGAATGGCTTGTTTCTTCATTGTATATTCTGTATAATTATACATTGTACATTTCCTACCCCATCAAAGAGCTGGGCAAGTGACAAGATCCTGTCAGTGGAATTCTTTAAGTGGTGAGCTGGCCAGTTGTGAGGCGTTGGAGGTCAGTGGAGGTGGGGGGTGCTCTTACAGGATGTTATGATCACAGTCAAATCCGATTCTGTCCCCCACCCAATATGCCAGACCCAGGAGGAGTCACATGGGGAATCTGATCAGAATGCCTGGATGACATTTCCCTGTGGTGTAGGGTCATTGGGTCAAGCCAAGAGAGAGCGTTCCTTGCAGACAGTCATCGGATCTCCTTTTCAAACTGCTACCTGTTCTATTTGAGAATTCTGTAGACGTTCCAGCTGGATAACCCATTTCTCCCACTCTACTTCACCTCAGCCAATCAACATTGTTGTCTGCTCAGGCAGCAGCTGTCAATCATTTTCTTGCAGGTTGCAATGCATTGTGGAAGCTATGTTTACAACAGGATAAGGGAATTGGCCAAATAATCCAGGGCAGGAACATGTGCTTTTTTTTTATTTGTGCTCAGAGTTGCTTTCGTCTGGAATGCACTGTGCGGAAACAGATTCAATCATCACTCTCCAAAACTCCCCATCCCCTACCGCATCCCAAAACTAGCCCAGCTCATCCCCGCCTCCCTAACCTGTCCTTCCTCCCACCTATTCCCTCCTCCCACCTCAAGCCCCACCCCCATCTCCTACCTACTACCAGGCAGCATCAGAAGAGCAGGAAAGCTGACGTTTCGGGCCTAGACCCTTCTTCAGAAAATACCAGAGAATTACCAGCTTTCTGTCTTTGTTACATTTCTAAGGGTGCATTAATGTTTTAGCAATGTGCCTTAGGTGCAAGACCTGAATATGGGATTGATACTAAAACACGATCTGGACATCAGGTTGAGAACTGTCTTGCGTCATCCATGCAGTCTTCTTTCAGTGGCACTCTGGCTGTAAATCTGTGTCACTGTGTTGAATAATACATTGACATTAAAACATTGAAGCTGCTTCATCTGCCTGTAATCTCCAATCATGGGTGGCATGGTGGTTAGCACTGAGAGGGGGGTAGGTCTGGGTGGGATGCTCTTCGGAGGGTCGGTGTGGATTCGATGGGCTGAATGGCCTGCTTCCACACTGTAGGGATTCTATGAATCACAGTAACCATTCAACACAAGAATGGTCTTGATCCTGACAGGCCCGTAGAAATTGGAGTCCAAAGGTCACATTTACTGCTGTAATGTTGCACAAAAGCGTGGAAATTGATTTTAATTCACTGTGAAGTTAATAAGAAGTTACTGCGATGTGAAAAGGTAACAGTTATAGCCATTCACCAGGCAGTCCTGTTAACTAGAGGCTATTTTTCATTTACTTCACGAATAAGTTCTGAATTATCTAACTACTTCCACTCTGGCTAAATCGTAATTTTCTGGGTGAAAAATTCTTCAGCAGAAACCTGACCTTGTGGAGCTGCAGTCTGTTCTGATATGTCGGGGAATATTAAGGTTCAGATGGCACTATTTAGTAAGGAGCAGAAAAGTCCTATCTAGCATTAATCCCTCAACCATCTTCTCTGAAGTGGATTACCTGGCTGTTGCTGCTTGTTGCGTACAAACTGGCTGCTACATTTCCCCACATTGGACCAGAAATGGCTTTGGGATGGTGAAGGTGCCATATAAATTTAAGTTCTTTAAAACGCTTTTGCGTTAGACAGATAATTCAAATTGACCCAACTTGGAGTTAAGGGGATCAGACTGTGGCTAATATCAAATTTGAACCACCAGCAGCAAAGGTAACAGAAATAGGAGTGCCACAAATCATAAGGTACAGGAGCAGAATTAGGCCATTCAACCCTTCAAGTCAGCCCTTCAAGCATGGTCATGGCTGATCCAACTCAGTCCCCTGCCCCCACTTTCTCCCATATCCTTTGATCCCTTTAGCTCTGAGAACTTCCTGAAAACATCCAATGTTTTAGCCTCAACTGCTTTCTGTGGAAGAGAATTCCTCAGGCTACCCACTCTCTGGGTGAAGACATTTCTTCTCATCTCAGTCTTAAATGGCCTACCCTGTGTAACCTTAGATTTTTCTGAAGAAGGGTCTAGGCCCGAAACGTCAGCCTTCCTGCTCCTCTGATGCTGCTTGACCTGCTGTGTTCATCCAGCTCTACACCTTGTTAACCTTAGATTGTGACTCCTGATTCCGCACTCCCCAGTCATCAGGAACATCCTTCTGCATTTACCCTGTCTCGTCCTGTTAGAATTGTATAAGTCTCTGTGAGATCTCCCCTCATTCTACTAAACATCGGTGAATATAATGCTTAAAGATCCTGTCTCTCTTTATATGACATTGGCTTATTAACAGTAAGTGAAACTGAGCTTTCATAGGATTTGTACACTGTCCTTTCCCTACTGAGAGTAATTCATCTGACATCTGCAATTCTGAGTCCATAATTATCACCTGTAATTCTTCCTGTACTTAATTATAAAGGATTAATGGATGGGAATTGGAATCAGTTAGGCAGATTAGCCGAGGAATAGCAGATGGATTGTAATGTAGATTAATATAATGCTTGTTTTGAACAGGAAATTTGTGTATATGCAGAATGAGTTACTTCAGCAAAGCTGAAAAAGAAACAGATTTGCAAGTGATTATTCTGCGTTGACCCAGCATGAAGTTAGGATTATATTCGCTGGAGGTCAGAAGATCAAAGCGGGAGTCTCATAGAAACCTGGAGGATGGATGTTCCCAACGATGGGGGAGTCAGAACCACAGGTTGCAGTTTGGGGTGAACCACTGAGGACTGAGATGAGGAGAAATGTCTTCATCCAGAGAGTGGTGGGTCTGTGGAATTCGCTGCCAATGAAAGGGGTTGAGGCCAAAGCATTGTGTGATTTCAAGGAGTTGGATCTAAAGGTGTCTAAAGGGATCAAAGGATGTGATGTGAATTACTGGCGACAGACATCCCTAAGCTCAAGTGAACCCACGTGTGTGCGGCCAATATCACATATGTCAATGATGTCATTGTCTAAACTCGCAGAGATGTCCAACTGAAACTGAATTTCTGTGTGTCTGGGGGAGCCTGGGTTTCTCAATCCAGGAGCAAGGTCTTAGGTTGGGAGTGGAGCTGAGGGCCGAGAGTGGAGTCACAGGTCAGGAGCGGGATCATATGCTGGGAGTAGAGACATACGTCGGCCGTAGGGTCAAAGGCCAGAAAGGAGAGGTCATAGGTTGGGAGTGGGGTTGAAGGCCGGGAAAGCAGAGCTGGCCATTGAGCAGTGCCCCTGGGCAGCTCCTTGCAGTGGGCAGTGGTGGGAGAGAGAGATAGTGACTCTGGGCTGAATTTGGATTGGAGGGGTGGTGGGTGCTGTGAATACTGAGGACCATACTCCATGCTCCCCCCCCACCCCAACCTGTCCCTTAGCCAATGATGTTCAGTGGAGAATGAAAGATGGCTCAATAGACTCTTGTTCCGTTTAGAAGGGCAAGTGTGTCCATGAAACTCAGCCCTCTCCCCCCCAACCCTAACTCAGGCAGTGGATCATTTTAAGATGCTAACTGGCCCCTGTGATGTCAATAGGAGTCTGTATAACATCTCAGGTCAGTCAGGGGCAATAACAATTTGTGACTGACTGCTCAGCCGAACACAAAGCAGCGCTGCTTTTGTACAATTTGGGGGAAAAGTGAGGAAAATGCTCCTTTTTATTGAATTGATAATTTTCCAATCCTGGCCAATTGGCAGGGAGGGTTGTAACAAACTCTACAGGGTTCAAATCCCATTGTGGCAGCTGGGGGGATATAAATTCCATTTAAGTTTAAATTTGGATTGAAATGGCAATACACCTCATTAACGACATCACTAAATCTGCAGGATTGGTCTAAAACTCATCAGTTTCACCAATGTCCCTTACAGCTTCACCATTAGTGTCACTTACTTACTTCGTACCATCCCAACAGCTATCTTTATCTCCAGAGATAACAAGGTGTAGAGCTGGATGAACACAGCTGCCCAAGCAGCATCAGAGGAGCAGGAAGGCTGACATTTCGGGTCTGGACCCTTCTTCAGAAAAATTCATCGTATTGGCATTTTTCTGAAGAAGGGTCCAGACCTGAAACGTCAGCTTTCCTGCTCCTCTGATGCTGCTTGGCCTGCTGTGTTCATCCAGCTCCACACCTTGTTATCCTTACCTCCAGCACTGTTTTCCTTCCAGTCCCATTTCCATTGTTTCATTTCTAAATGGAGTGATGATACAATGCTGCCCTGCAAGGGGGCTGTGCTAACATCTCTGAGAGATGGTCTTTAACCCAGCAGCTTCCAACAATTAAATCATCTCAATTGCAAATGCTAATTCAGTCCTCAGGTCTTCTATTTATTCCGCAAAGGTCTCCCTGACAACCAGTGTTTAAATAGAAATCATTCTAAATATATCCACATCCAGCAGAGCATGGAGGTTTAAGCTCATTTACGTTTTTAGCCAATTTGAGTTTAGAAAGGAGGGACGTTCTCCTGTCATAAAGCTGGGGACTCACACGACAGCGTCAGTATCATTAGGCCTCGAGTGCTTTACAATGAGAGTCAGCAATTCATTGTCAGCAATTAATGTTGAAATGGGTGTGTGTTTAATGCTTTGCACCAGAATAGAGTTTGGTCACAGAGAATGGGAGCGATCTGAAACTCTACACTACATTTACTACCCATGAACAGAATCACTGATGTGTTATGGTGCAAACGAGGCCATTTGGCCCATTGTGCTTCTGCTGGCTCATTGACTGACCCAGGGCCCATTTCTCGCTTTTCTCCCCCATACCCTTGCACATTATTTTATCTGAATAATCATCCAATGCTTTCTTGTATGAGCTGAGGTACTTTTTTGTTGGAGTAAACCCCCCCAGTGTACTCCTGAATATAAACTCCATTGTCCCATTTGCCTATTGGTGCTCAGAGACTGGGCTCGGCTTCCATTCCAATGATGCCCTGTTTTAAAAATCTGGTCCTTATTCTGCCCCTCTCTCGTGCCCCTCAGGAGGGGAGGTAGGGCAGATAGTGAGAAAGTATCAGTCCCTTTGGTCATCTCCATCAGCCCAACTGGATCATCCTTTAATCTCAGATACTGAGGCAAATACAAGCCTAGACTGTGCGGTCTGTCATTTTAATCATTTTAGACTCACTATTGTGTGGTGAAGACTGGGATTTTCCTGGTCTGTGTGCCTCAGTCACTCTATATGACGGGAGAATGTTTTCTTTGTGTAAACAATCAGTGGTATAAAGGTTCCAGTGTATAGTTCTATCATAATTAAAAGGACTTCTGCAAAACAAAAATTCTACTTGACTCTAGGCCTGAAACGTCAGCCTTCCTGCTCCTATGATGCTGCTTGGCCTGCTGTGTTCATCCAGCTCTACACCTTGTTATCTCTCTTCTACTTGACAGTGTTGTGCCTACTTTCTGTCCATATGCTGAACAGATCTGAAATATTTGGTGTTGAGAGAGATATGTTGTCTCTGTTTTCTGGCAGCCTGTCATTTAGAATTTTGAAATTTGACTTCTCAAGTGGGTGTGGTGCTGATCGAGTGAATAGTCCCATTGTTTTCTGTGAATAAATGTAATTTGAATACATTGTAAACACATCACTGTCACATTAACTCAGTAAATGCAGAAATGTCTGTTCGTGTGAGCGAGCAGCCAGTCTGTAACTGAGTGCTGGAGTAGGTAGCAGCAACATACAGAGTGTCCCATGGGCTATTCACTAGGACCAACAATGCACTGAGGCTCTATATTAGTGGCTGTGATGCCTGATGCATCTTTGTTGGATCACGGTCTAAGGGTAAGGGGTTAGGTAATTGAGGACTGGGATTGAGGAGAAATTTCTGCAACCTGAGAGCACTGAGCCTGTGGAATTCACTCCCACAGAAAGCAGTCAAGGATGAAACATTGTATGGTTTTAAGGAAAAGTAAGGGAAATGACGATGGTCCTACCAGATTCATTAGAGAGAGAGAGATAACTGGCAGTGGCTTCACCCAAGGGGAGAGGTAGAGAAGGAGACTCCTTTATGGCACTCTCAGCTGGTACACGAATCAAACCCACGCTGTTGGCATCACACTGCTTCGCAAACCAGCCGTCCAACCATTTGAGCTAGTTGATCCCAGCTGGATGTAGCTCTTGAGGCTAAAGGAAGCAAAGGATATGTGGAGAAAGTGGGGACTGGGTACTGAGTTGAAAGATTCTGGGGACCTGGGTTCAAATCCTGCCACGGCAGATGGTGGAATTTGAATTCAATAAATATCTGGAACTGAGAGTCTAATGATGACCATGAATCCATTGCTGATTGTCAGGAAAAACCCGTCTGGTTCACTAATGCCCTTTAGGGAAGGAAACTGCCATCCTCACCTGGTCTGGCTTACATGTGACTCCAGACCCACAGCAATGTGGTGGACTCTTAACAGCCCTCTGGGCAATCAGGGGTGGGCAATAAATGCTGCCTGGCCAGTGATGTCCTCATCCCATTAATGAATAAAGAAAACAAAATTCACAATCACTGAATTCCCCACTATGTAGGAGGTTGAGAGGTAACCTGATAGAGGTTTATAAAATCATGAGGGGCATGGATAGGGTGAATAGCCAAGGTCCCTCAGGGTGGGGGAGTCCAGAACTAGAGGGCATAGGTTTAAGGTGAGAGGGGAAAGATTTAAAAGGGACCTGAAGGGCTACTTTTTTCACATAGAGGGTGGTGCGTGTATGGAATGAGCTGGTGGAGGAAGCAGTAGATGCAGGTACATTTGCAACATTTAAAAGATGCTTGGACAGATACCTGGATAGGAAAGGTTTAGAGGAATTTGGGCCAAACACAGGCAAATGGGACTAGGATAGTTTGGGAAACCTGGTCAACATGGACAAATTGCACCGAAGGGTCTGTTTTCATGCTGTATAACTCTATGACTCGAAATTGAATGGCTACAAGAGCAGGTCAGAAGCTAGGAACGCTGCAGGTCTGTGGCATTACCAGTAATGGTGGTAAATCTGATTGGCCAGAGGCTGGGACACCTCCGTCAGTCAGTTTGAGTGGGGGGTTGGGGGTTGGTGGGGGAAGTACCATATTTCGGTAATTGGCCTCATCCAGAGCGCATAATGGCTGAGGGACAATTACCTCCTGGCCTTGCCAGTGTTCCTTCCCCAGGGGGTGGGCGGGTGAGTTGGGGGGTGAGGTGGCTATGGCAGGGTCAGTAGTCCATTCCCCCACCCCTCTGTAATTATTGGCTCACTGTTTCCACCGGAGGACAGGTAGAGAACCAGAGGCCACCTGATTTCAAAAGAATCTGTAGCGACATGAGGGGAAACCTGTTCACACAAAGGACTGGAAAGCTCTGCTTCATCAAGTCGGATTCAGTTGTGGCTTCCAGAAGAGGTTTGAATCTTTCTATGGAGAGAAAAATTGTGCAAAGCTACAGGGAGAAGGCAGGGGAGTGGGGCTAGCTGAGCTTCTGTTGCAGAGGGCTGGCATGGACTTGATGGGCCGAGTGGCCCCTGCTGCTTGCTAATGTCTCTATAAATGCTCCGCTTTCCTGAAGTCTAATGGATGGTGCTTTATATTGTTGTATAGAAACGGAAATGTTGTTTTGGAATCAGAGGAATCAATGGGAAATTTGGGAACGGGCTGATGGCTGACTACTAGGAAATGGCTAGGATGTAACAGTGTACAGATATCGATGCAGTATATATCTCCCCATATTGAATCTGTTTGTGTCACAGAGTGATGAAGGAGGAATGAGAATACTACAGAGGAAATGGACATCCTTCCTGCAGACCCGGGTTGTGTGTTCCATCCCAGAGTTTGGCTTCCACTTCAACATCCTGAAGAGTATTTATGTTCTGAACCAAGGAAACTGGCAAAACACAATATTCTATGGAGTGTTTCTATCGCAATGGTAAGTGTAAATACTGTGCTGAGTAAATGCGGACCATTGTGACCATCAACAGAGTACTTGATCTAGATGTAGTCTTGGGTAAACTGCCAATCATCTGGCTGTTGAGATGGACTTTACTGTAACTCATTGCACTTGTTCATTTTCTCATGGTCCTGGGTTATGTTAAACTATCAGACACCACCATAAAAACAGAAGGTCATCGCCATTGTGGTTTGTGGAATCGACCTGTGTCGGAAATTGTTTGAAGTGTTTACCCATAAACAACAATGACGATAAAATTTTCAAACAACAATTCAGAGGCAGCAAAGCTGTTATGTGATGTCCTCAGGATAAGGCACTACATCAAGGCAAGCCCCTGTCTTACAGAATCACAGAAATGTTACAGCGCCCAAGGAGGCCATTCGGCCCATGAGTTACTGGAGTTGGATTCAGTCGCAAAGTCCTGTTCCAACAGAACTGAAGTGAGTGGAATGGGGTGAGTGAAGGAATCTGTACTGAGGAGACAGACCTGGAGTCAATCCAGATTGAGGAGTTGAGCTGAGGAATGAATTCCAGGGCAAATAATATTTACTGAAACCTTCGTAAGTCCTGAGACTATTTATTTTGTCACTTCTCATCTTTCCCCTACGTTCTGATACTCTATCCTTACTACGATCTGTGCGCCCTGCTACTCAGTCTGCGGTTTGCTGAGGGCAGGGTCACATCTGCAATGTTTTCTTCGTTTTCCCTGAGGAAGGTCCCTGCTGTTCGCCATAGAGACAGTGGGATGTGAGGTTTGGGAAGATAAATTTCACAGACTTGTGGTCTTCCTACTCAGGAAGAAGATGGGAAGCATACACCGAGTTCAGATCACGATGGGAGTTTTCTTTTCAATGCCAACCTTCTGATCTGAAACTAACAAAGAAAGTAGGAAAACAAAACAGAAAGGGCTGGACTCAAAACTTTGGACAGAAAATTGCTCTCAGTCTTCAGCTGCTACAAAACCTGTTGAGTTTCTCCAGCAACACTGTTTTTTTGATTTCAGATTCCCAGCATCTGCAGAACTTTGTTTTCAAAGGAAGAAACATTTTGCATCTTGATGACCTCAGTGCTTTCTAGTCAGTTAAGTACTTTTTAAAAGAGGAACATAAACTAGGTTGCTGGAAAAGCTCAGAGACAACAAGCTGCAGAGCTGGATGAACACAGCAGGCCAAGCAGCATCATAGGAGCAGGAAGGCTGACGTTTCGGGCCTAGACCCTTCCTCAAAACTCACCAGACCCGAAACGTTAACTTTGTTATTTCCTTCACGGATGCTGCCAGACCTGCTGAGGTTTTCCAGCAACTTCTGTTTTTGTTCCTGATTTACAACATCCGCAGTTCTTTCGGTTTTTACTTTTAAAGAGGAGTTACTTTATCAGGTCTGTTTCTGGCATGAGTAAGGGAGCAACATTAAGGAGGCTACCATGTGTAAAAGTACAACCTTTCATGAAATTGAATGCTCCCCCCGATCCCCAGCCCTTACAGCCTGTCACAGATTTTTCAACTCGCTGCTGAATTCACACTTGTAAAATTCTTACCTTGCTTCCAGTGAAAATAGACTCGAACTTTAAATAAGGTTAATTAAAACAGAAGGGAGAGATGACACTTACAGCAGATGCCAAGGGAAACATCCACGTAAATTATAGGAAGGACATTATTAAGCTGGAGAGAGTTCAGAAGGGATTTACCAGGATGTTGCTAGATATGGAAGGTTTGAGTTATAAAGAAAGGCTGGTTAGGCTGGGACTTTTTTTCACTGGAGCGTAGGAGGTTGAGAGGTGAGCGAATAGAGCTTTACAAAATCACGAGGGGTATAGATTGGTGCCTTTTCCCGAGGATGAGGGATTTCAAGACTAGGGGGCGTATTTTAAAGGTGAGGGGAGAGAGATTTTAAAAAGACATGAGGGGCAATTTTTTTACACAGCAAGTGGTTCACGTGTGGAATGAACTTCCTGAGGAAGTGACGGATGTGGGTACAATTACAACGTTTAAAAGGCACTTAAACAAGTGCATGAATAGGAAAGGTTTGGAGGGATATGGGCCAGGAGCAGGCAGGTGGGACTAGTTTAATTTGAGATTATGTTTGGCATGGACTGGTTGGACCGAAGGGTCTGTTTCTGTGCTGTATGACTCCAAGACTCTATGTGTACAAATCTGCAGCCTTTCGGAGTTAAATTCTTTAATCGCTGGCAGTGTATGTGAGTGATTCACCATGTTCTGGGAAAAATGCACAGCTCTACACAAATTACCCAATGTACAGATTCCCTGGTACAGCAGTAACACAGCTACACCGTCCACTTGATATGACCAGACCCAGGATAATCTTCCCCAAGATAGTACAGTTCTAGAAGGGATACCCCAAGTTGTTGTGCTCCATGGGATGGAAGGGATGAACTGACTCCTTTTCTTTATTCACCTGCCCCATTAGCTGGTCACAATGGGGTTAATTTCTTAAAGGTTCCCTCCCTTGTGTTTCTCCTGGACCAAATGAGTTCATGTTTTAGAAAGAACTAATTTAACCGAACGTTCTCGAGTTAGCAAAATCAACACTTTATGAAATGTGAAAAGGTAAAGTTGCTCACACCCCGTCCACGCAATAAGAACCAAAAAAGAATCCCCCTCGT